CGCAGAGAGGTATATAGGGCAAGGAATCAGCGCTCATGGAGATGCATTTATTTGTTAGTGCATGGATTGCGTTGCATTATCTTTTTTTATATACAAGCGCTTCAAGGCCTTGGTACCGGGGATGACCCGCTTTCGTAAAAGCCGCTGTTGTGCCACCTTGACGCCGGTATATAATCGGCCAAACCCATTCGAAGTTTCCTTCTCTGCTTCTTTCTCCCTACCCGTTTACGTTCCCGACTTCCCTACTATCCGCTTAGTACCAAAAGGCTGATTCGTCCGCTTTCCTCCTTGTTTGTGGCCAGATCTTTATCGTTACCACACTCTGACATCGTGGGTAATGTGTCTCTCGTTTCTCCACCATATAAAATTGCTCCCCACCCATTCCCGCCTAAATCACTAAAAGCTGGTCGAATGAGTGCTTGGATTGTAGCCGTCCGAGATTAGTTAACTTTATTAGGCCAACGTTTCGGCAACTTCGCCTTCGTCAGAACCTGAAAAAATCAAAAACAAAGATGACTTGCCCTCTCAAAGGCCTCCACAATACTGAAAACTATTTCCATATCTTGGTAAGGGCCACCGACCTAAGCGGCTTCCCAATTGCACGCCATGACCAACTCGACCCTCCTCCACACTCACATCCTCGACCTCAACCCTCGACCCTCACCTCAATGTGTAGATCAAAAGCCAGCTAGATAGTCGGAGAGGGCAACGGAGGTTCAACCGGCTCACATATCACATAAACACAAACTCCTCTTTGTACAACTCAGACTCTAGGTCATCTTACCGAAATCCCACCACAACGCACTCCTCCACGACAACTTTCGCGTGCGGAATTCAGGCACAATGCGCTAGAATGCACACACTTGTTATCCCTAAATTCGAGCGAATATGGTACCAAAAAGTCCCTGAATCTTATTCTGTAGTATGACGGCAACGACAATCCATGCACACCTTAACAAATAAACGGCATCCTCCATGAGCGCTTGATTCCTTGCCCGATATACTCCACGAGCTATATGTAATGAGGAACGTAGTGCTCTGCATGTAAAATCCTTGTAAGCAGTGCATGATCGATTGGTCTGATTTATTCTACTGATTCCTCGAGTCACTGACGGAGGATGAGCGCCTCATCGGCACAGGTAGAGTTGTGGTGAGGAAAAGGGTGTTGAGGTTTCCACTCTCCTGTTCATTAGCATGGATGACACTTAGCTAAATTGCGGTTTTTAATGTTGAGGCCGTACAGGTGCATTTGAAAATGACGAATCCGCTTGAAACCTACGCTATAATCCAATATACAAGCAAGAACTTCATAATAGTTTTCTACGCCGACGACATGAGGTGGCTTTGGAAACATGGTGTATGGTATGAGATCAACGACGTTATCAACGTGGTCATTACGCACTGGTAATCTGAAACGCTGCTCAAATGCGGTCTTGTATATTCAGAGCTACTCTCTCTAGGACGCTACGCAACACCTAATCGATTGAAGGAATTTTCGTAGCAGCGATTCGATTGCGAGTTCGAAAAGCGATTCGCAAAGTCCACTTTGAAGGAACGCACTGTTTGAAGTGGCGAACTTTCTTATAAGAGGAATTATACGATTAGAATGAAGAAAGGGAACTGACCTAGTTGAGGGACCCACGGACCTCCTGAGGGTGCGAACTGACGCGCAATTCGCATGGAAAAATTTGACCTCGGCGACCTATCATGCCTCAAAGCTGGCGGGTCCGGCGATCTCCGCCCACCGATCATCTGATCACTCGCCGTAGTTCAATACGTGGCGAGTGATTAGATAGCTGAGAGAGCGTAGTGTTGAAGAGGGCACAGCGATGAGAGTCGCATCAATGCTCGAATCAACGGGCAAGGAAGGGGTCCATTTCTCGGGTTCTGGGCCGTTTCTCATGGTTCTTCCTTCTTTCGTGTACCACTCACCATCCCTAGGTTAATTTGAAATGGGTTGCTTTTTCATCGTGAATTCGTCCTTTAAAGAGATTCACGCACACTTTCAAACTGGTTGGAGCGCTGCCCCGGCTTTTATGAAGGTAGCTCACCGGCGGCGCGGCATTGCGAGCGCTGTGAGGTGCGCGTTCAAATATTGACGTTTCACAGCCGCGGGAGGGATTTGACTCAATTTGACGTCACAGCAGCGGGGAGGGATTGGGCAAGACAGGCGCCATTACTTTGTAACAATACGTATTAGACACTATCGATTCTGACTTCACTGTGCAGTGAGTAGAAGTAATAACGAAGAATGAACTTAAAGTAATCAACTTCGACTTAATTGCGCACTCGTTGGGTTTTAAATGCGAAACCGTTAATTTCCTCAAATTTGCAAAAATATTCCTAATTTTCGACGGCGAAAATTGTACCTACACACAATACAACCTCTTTGCTCACGGTACTACTGACTGCATCAATTAGTGAATGCTAGTATCCCTTCTATCAGCCAAACGAAGTGACAGCAACACTCCTACCTCGCCCTCTCGTTGCCGTTTTGTCGCAGCTGTGACGTCACCTGCACGCGCTCGCGTCCGCGCCGCGGTGAGCTTATCTCTCCCCCCGTCGCTCTGACGATATTCATTCATCCGCTGGCAAATTAGTCCGCATGCTTGGTACACAGCTCGATTTTGTCGCTGCACGCTCGTGCCTCCAGACCGCCAAGTGACGTCGGCCTATATCGGTGCTTCGTTGAGCTCTGACCCTTATAACAGATGATGTCACATTGTGAATAGCATGAGAGAAGTGAAGCAGCGGCGACCTGCGCGACGAAACGTTTGGTGATGTGCGCCATGTGCAAAGTGACAGTTTTTTTTTGCCCCTCCCCTCTGCATATTTCCCAATACACTAATTTAGGGTATACTAACAATCGTATAGGAGCTGAGAGACACTGACAGACTGGCGACAGCGCGAACATATATCCCGCGCATTGCAGGCCATGGCGGACCGCCCCGGATATATGGTTCCCAAACCCCTTATATAATTTCTGTTCGTTATGCTCGCTTTTCGCGAAGGCTCTTGGTTTTCATTTCGCAGATCAAACTATAGATATAGAGTAAGAACTTCGTGGTCCCACGACCACGCTTTCAGATTAGTGGAGGCATTTTTCACCACTTCGACTTTTGCCATTCAGCTCAACTCCACCTACGCATTTTGAAGGTCCCCGCAAGCACAATGCGTGGTTTAACATACGATGGCATAATCGTGGCTTTCTGGTTTAACTTGTGCAAACGACCCCTTAGTTGATCGCCAGCTCGTCCATTATCGGAGGTCAACGGGCAAGAAAGCAGGTCCCATTTTGCGCATTTTTGACGGATTTCTTTGCTTTTTTCGCCACAAGGGCACTTATTCAGCATCTTCACTTCCACTATGAACCCAATCCAATCCTATCGTAATCTCGCTTTAATGAGGAACCGTTCTGTTGGATGAACAGCTTTAGGCTCTACAGTAGCGAAATGTTGGTATATTTCAAGACGAAAGTGAAATTCCATGGACAGAGGCAGAGAATAAAACATAAATTTTGTCGAAACTCTTCTGTGGAGCATGTACCAGGAACGTAACTTCCCCGTAGCGTTGGAATAGAAATACCCATGACTAGGTCATTAATGGTCAAGTTACTGTGCAACCAGATACCTCTGGTTCTCACTCTCTCAATAATCGTATACTTATATAATGATATATATATATAATATATAAAGACATACAGGGTGGCTACTAAATATTGGCGCATGGTTTATTGATCATATTTCCAAAAAGAGAAGCTATCATATCTTCAGAAGTTTATTTTCATATACAATAAAACATGAAAATTCATTACCAAAGAAAGTGCTCGAGATGGCCTCCTTTGGTAGCGATACAGGCTTGAAGTCTCTTTTCAACTGACATCACCGTGGGCCGCAAGTAGCCGACGTCGGCGTGATGTGAGTAGATCTTCAGACCAGAAGTGGCGCACGATTTGCAAAACGACAGGCGGTTGTGTTGGATCTGGCTAGCAGACATCTTCTGCTCGACCTTGTGTACACACACAAGGGGCAACGAATATTCAGACTTGTCATTGGTTTGGGCAGGAATTACTTCTGAAACCATGACACCGCTTGTCTTTGTGGATGAATACATCAAAGCCAGCGCCCAGATCTACCCGGAAACAATTTTCACGTAATGCCTTCTTCCAAGGACTCTTTTGACCTTCAGCGAACGTCATTGCATTCTTCAGCAAGACAGGGCGCCTCCACATGCCGCAAAATCAATGTTGGAGAACTGTGACCGTCATTTTCCAAGTTACCGCACAAAAAATGTTTGGCCATCTAAGTCGCCCGATTTGAACCAATTGATTTGGCGGTGTGGGGTTTCTTGAAGCAGAAGATGCCTTCTGAGCAACGTCGAAGTTTGGACTCCCTGAAGGCTTCCTTGGAGGAGGCGTGGAAGGAGCTTTGACGTCAGCTACTTGCGGCCCACAGTGATGTCAGTTGAAAAGAGACTTCAAGCCTGTATCGCTACCAAAGGAGGCCATCTCGAGCACTTTCTTCAGCACTGTACTGCCATGTTATAAGGTATATAAAGATAAACCTCTGAAGATGTAAAAGCTTCTCGTTTTAAAATATGGTCAACAATCGATGCGCCAATATTTAGTAGCCACCCTGTAATCTATATACTATACGATATGTATGTATATGTATATGTATGTGAAGCATGTGGCAAGCTCGTCCGTGAAAGGGCATCTAGAATTCGAATGTCTGGACGGATGCCTCAAGAAGACGCGACTAGGGGACATAAAGGGAATTCCGTTCCTGGGGGCTTTCGCGCACAGGCCGGTGGAGAAGTTGTGGTGTGCCTGGATGACGGCCTCAATCTTCAATCGACTGAACCTTCGTTGCCGAGAGATTTCTACATAAGGAAAGAGTTATCATCTTGACGCGCCCATGCTGTGGTGCAAGTTCTAAAGAATGGCGTTGAACAATGGCACTAAGGGACAGCGTTTATTCTGTTCACATTTATATTGAGACATCCTTCGATTGAGGGATACGACGTTGCTGAGCTTGTACGAGATAGCCTTCGAAAAAGTCAAGGAGGAGTTAGACGAGGAGGCGCGGGCTTCGAGGCCAAGCAAGCAAGGACCCGTCGCATTGGCGGCCCTGGAATCGGTTATTCTGCTAGAAAAGGATGGGCCTAGCGGGAGCCTCATAACAAAGGTGACCAAGCATTCGCGGACCTGCAGGGAACGCTGGCGGGGTCCTTATGTGAACTTGGGTAGTGGTGTTGCCCGTCGAGCGAATCTAGAATTGCTGGCGCACATCGAGGCGATCATCATGTGGCAAAGGAGCACCTTGAGAAGGCGGAAGGTAGTTAACGGCTGGCCCCGGCGCTTACAGCCAGCTTCATTGCTGCGCAATGGACGGTTGCCTGCTGGACGGGCACCCCTCATGGTCTAAAGCGCTCTGATGCGCTCTACCCCTCAAGGTGTATTAACTTTCAGTATACCTGACACATCATGAGCGAGTGACGCTTCCCACACAGAGTGGCGTGGTCGCAACGAAGCAGACTTCCGTTTCGCGCAGAAAACTAAGTGCTATCATGCCCTCCCCCCCGCCCCGCCACACACCCCCCGCCCCCCCACCCCCCACAGAACATGATACAGTGCGTACGTGAGGGCTAATAGTCGTGAAGGACCGGATAGTCCGTTCAGCGTGGGGGGCAAAGCTAGTGCAGTTTCGGCTGACATCGCCAGGTAGTAGCACGTGGCTAGCTAGACGACCGTGTGATGGTCTTACCTGATGGAAGCCTGATCTTGATGTGTGTAGGTCCGCCAGTTCAAGGGCGTCCACACACCGCTAGTGCGGCGCATACGTACGCCAGCACACGCACAGCTGCGAGTTGCGGAGCATACCGAGGGCTTTCTGTCACTAAAGGGGGGTCGATGTGCCAGGCACGGACGAGGTGCGTGTGTTAATTGCTTAGGCAGGCAGTGGGTAAAAAGTGCAACTACTTTCTTGTTGGTCTGTAAGTACCTCAACCCACGCAACCCACCCGAAAAAACAAAACACATCAACAATTGACTTAGATAATGTTCGGAACGATTTGCTTACTGAGCACTCTGCCGAACAATCAATGCGCAAGACACTGGTAGGTCGAACCAGTGCGCAGGGGACAACATTGTGGGTGGTCAAAACCTTGCAAGGAAATCTGTGGTGCGCGGGTAATGGAGCCCGCCCTTGCATTTGGCGAAAACAACTCGAGCGCGAGTAGAGGTCGAGGCGCGGCGCAAGGCCCCTATAAAAGAGCGAGGGGGGTAAGGTGGGTATTCCAGTTCCAGCTGATTTGCTAATCTTCATCTCATCTGCACTCCTGTTGTCTCCCCTAATACCCCTGGGCTGTACGCGGTAGCTCAGTGGCGCTCGTGGGTGTGAAGGAGGGACCCTCGTGGCTGCGTGTAGGAGGAGCGAGTGGCTTCAAGTTCGGAGAGGCCTGTGTGGTCTAAGACTTGATGCGGAGCCTGTGTGCTCGAGTTGGGCCTCCGCGGCTGAATAAATTGCGCCTTAGTGACTTGGAGTAGGGGGAGCCTTGTGATGGTCGTTTTTTTTGTTTTTTCTTTTTTTTTTTTTTTGTTACAGATGAGAGGGACTCGTCGCCTTTGTGGCTGGATCTCTAGGAGTGCCCCGCCACCTCACAGCCCGCCGCCTTCTATTCCGTTTCCACTTCGTTCTACAATCAAGGTTTCACTCAGCTCGTCCTTCGTCGAAGTTCTTCACCCGGCCTGCGAGGTCCCATGTTATTACATATGCAGTATGTAGTTGCTTCCACTCGAGATGAATGCCTGTATGTAATTGTGAATTATTGGCATTATTCATAAAGGAGATGGTTGCGAGCAACGCGCTACGAGGATGTCTCTCCCAAGCTCTACACCAGTCACAAACTTTCATGTCATTTGGTTTTCATTTTTCAGACGAAATGTCACTGTTTTCAAGAACCATGGACGACTCTTCTGTGTAAGAGTGAGGGTTGCAGTTACCTCGTGTGGCTCTGCTATGGATGTTGTCTACGCGCCGTAACACCACACTCTCGAAGCTCAACTCCACTAAACACCCGCAATCTTTCGTCCAGTGCGAGGTATGGGTGACGCGTTACGAAACATCGAAGCCGTCGGTACGGCTACGAAAGGGAAGGACAAATTCGAAAATTTTGAAATGCCACTGAACGAAAATGGTTAACATGGTCAAAATCACTTCAGTAATACACTGTTCATTAACCCCGAATGATAGACACTGTTGCATCATTAATTTCCACCAACATTCATTTAATTGAAAAAGAACAACGTCATATAGAGAAAGGTTTGAACAACCATGCTCACCTTCTTTGTGTTGGATACGGCAAGCTCACTCCAACACAAGCTCAATCGTATGGGCTAACACGTTTCGTCCCTAAAATCAAAGTGATTGAACCGTAATTGAGTAAAACAGATTCAAATGTACAGATTCAAGACTCTCACAACTACAAGAATGAAGTCGGGGTCAAGAAGGAGCATATAATGAGCGAGAGAAGGCAAAACAAGAAAAAAAAGCGTTCAAATTAAAGCAAAACAGCTAGTAAATGCTTTAAATGCGGAAAAATTATTTAAAAAGAGACGTCGATTACGGTAGGCGAGTGGCGGCGCAAGTGGTGCAAATGCATCCAGCAGAAGGGCCAAACGGGCTGGTTTGCTTACTTCGCACCGTACTGAGCCTTTTTCTTCTATGGATCACATTCAAGACTGGTGAGTTAACATACATTGACTCACGTTTTTTAAACATCTGCACCTTAACTACTGCCCCATGCTTGGGTGAAATGTTGGTTGATCAATCATCAAGAAATGAAGGCGAGGAGAACTAGCCTCAGACGAGGTCCATGTAAGCGGCGGACTGTAGGACGGGGACTACCATCTACCTTGGACGATATTTCTACGCTGTTGATTCTTTTGATACCGCGATGTTCTCTCAAGGAAGGAAAACCTGTACTATAATGTTCTTCTTCAATTTTTTTTGAATGTGACACATTAAAATGAATGTTACTGAATAAATTTTTGAATGTGACAGTTTGTTTGATACCGTTTGGTTTTCAACACAAACGCATAAAATACCGTGGGAATACTCGTTGAGAATATTCATCGGCGCGCAAGCTACACATCGCAGGACTTTCTTCTCGAAGGTGGGCTTATGTACCTGTACGAAACGCTTGGCGAAATAAGTGACTGTGTCGGAACTGAGCTACGGTAAGCCCTGATAATTTGGACAGGTACAAGTGCGAGAATTCAAATCTGTCAATCAGTTAGGTGGTCGGGTGCTGGTGGTGCACGTCTCATCATAAAATCTTTCAGGTTAGCACTGGCGCTGCGTTCGAAGATGATATCCTTAGCAAAGGTGGCACATTACGGAGTTTCAGCAGCAGATGAAGAAGCTCACTTAAATGTTGAGGAATATGGGTCTTCAAGCGTCGATCGAAATAGCTCTCCATCGCACGATTCCGAGTCGCCACAGCTAGTTGGCGTGTTGATATGTCCTTCACAGGTCGCCCGCCAAACTACGCTTCAGTTCGACTAGTTAAGGTTTGCTCATTCGATCGGCCCACTACCTCGCATTTTCTTTTCTTCTCCCCACAATTTTCAAAGGGCGTCATTGAAGGGAAAGTTGGAAGTCCAGGAACAAAGGCTGGAGAGTTAGCTCCAGTCGGCGTTGAGTGTTGTAAGCCTTCAGAAGAGTTTCTGACGACTACTTAGATAGGACTCGAAGAACGGGTCAGATGTTTCATATATGGTTCATATGGACCCACGACAATGAGTTTCGGGAAGGGAGACCTCGTCCTCACAATGAAGGAACCTTAACTATTCCGCCTAGGTGTAGGATCACCATTCAAGGTTTACCACATTTTCATGCTCTTTATCAGACTGTGTACACAAGCTCTGTTCCTGTACTTATTTTACAATAATTCTTGAAATGGTGTCTTGCCTGTGCTGCATAAATGTCTTAAAATGGGACGTCTAGGAGTCTAGGAAACACAATTGATCTGCTCCACACAACGAGGAAGTTAATTCATTTCCGTGACCCTGTGCCCCATCGGAAGTACTCCATACGCAACGAAACTAATCCTAACCCATGTAAAAATTTGGAGGATGGTAATAGGGTTTGTTCAGTCGAGGGTTGGCAGTTGACGTGTGGTGCCTGCAACGCACTCCACACCACTCACACATTATTATCACGATGAGGTTACGGTGCTTGCGTTAGTACCGTGCAAAACGCTCGTCCTTGTCATAATTTGCTCAAGGGAGCTTCATTTCATTTTTCTTTGTGTGCACGCCGGAATAT